CACACACACACACACACACACACACACACACACACACACACACACACACACACACACACACACACACACACACACGTGTAAAAACCTCGTTCGCGATAAATGATGAGGCTACAGCGCATGCTCAGACCGTCAGATTAAATCTCGCTCTCCCAGTTTTTCTCTCTGACAAGGTGTGTGAGGGATGGAGGTGGACAGCAGGCTCCTATAAAACACACATTTCTCCTCACAGACAGGAAGTGGAGTGTGTGCAAGCACCCTTTGAGGACCATCGGGACTGCAGCCGAAACAAAAAGACATTTAAACAGGAAAAAACAGAAGAAGAAGAAGAAACGGGAACAAATGGCTGGCAGGAGGCGATGAGGCGTTCGAGGTGTTCGGTAAATGAGACTACCCGCTGCTGAGGTTCAGACCCGGTTCGAGCGGAGCAGGTGAGTGCGTTCAGGAGCGACTCGCGATTAATAAAGCGCATCTTATAGAGCTCGTTCACGTGCGTCTGTCCGCGAGCGCACCAGAAGAAGATGGGAGCGGGCTCGCGCTCATTCAAACAGCTGCTCGAGCTCTTACCACAGGATTATAATTAATGCGTTAATTAATGTGTCATAGCTATTTAATGCGGTAATAAAAAAAAAAACACTATAAACCAGGAGCGTGAATCCACCGTGTGTCTGGATGTGTTCGCGGCTCCGCAGACTGTCGGGGAAAAAATCAAATCAGGAACAGATTTTTTTTTTTTTTACAGAGCCTGTTTGTCTCAGTCTGGATGCAGCTTCTTTTTTCCCACAGTGATGGAGCCAATAACTGTGGGTAGATTTAAACCCTCTGCGCCTCACAGAGGAAACCATCACCTTGAGGAGAACATCTGACATCATTGCAAATTAAAACACAATTTTCCGATTATTTTCAAGTTTAAACTGAAATCTCTAGCAGCATAACACTGCTTTTTATTTTATTTTTTTATTTTTTGTTATGGCTGCTTTATCATATTGCTTAATGTGAAATCTTTAGAGGACAAACGTAATACAATGCATCACCCATTACATGTGTTCAGGGTTTGAACTGAAGCCAGATCTGCTGTGATGTCATCGTGAAGGTGTGCTGTGTTCTTCCAGCTGCTCACTGACTTGTGTAAAAGGTGTAAAATAAGCTTTTAAGAGGAGGGCAGCTGCAGAAACAGCAGCACTGCAGAGGCAGAGCAGCATCAGTGAAGAGAGAACATCCTGATCGCTGCCAAAAGCAGAAGCCAGGAAATTATTATTTTTCCCTTGTCTGGGTGTGTGTGTTTGTCTGTTAGCAAAATATCATGAATCACTGGATGGATTTTAATGAAACTCTCAGGAGATGATCAATGGCCACACCTCTGCAACTCTTCAACTTTTAGGCTTAATCTGAGTCAAGACGGCCACAACAGCCAACTGGTTTTAGAAAACACAAAAATGGCTGAAACTCAATTATGGCACTACATGTTAACATTTTCGCTCAGCTGTTTGTTAGTAAAATATCTCATGAACCATGGGATGTATTTTAAAGTATCTGTCAGACTGTGAATAATTCATGTACATGTACTAAATTTTGAAGGCAACCTATTTCAAGATGGCCACCGCAGCTAATTGCACTTGCGAAATTCAAAAATGGCACAACTCAATCAATCGTACAGATGTTGAGCTAAATGTTTGCATGGTGGTAGCAGAGCATCGTCTCCKTCACACACTCCACTGACAGCGTTAGATCGCACAGATTTGCACGAGAACACATGATGTTATTTTCCACCTCTTAGACCAGGGGTCTGCAACCTTTAAGAGCTACTTGACGCACTAATAAAATGTGTTCAGAGCCACAAAGCAAGCTGCAACTGCAATTATCAACTGGTGGTCCGTGGGCCTTTTTGAGGCCTTTTCTAAAACCTTTACAGCCAGTGGAGGTGGCATTATAAAGCAAATAAATATATTGTGAATTTTATTATTTATTATTATTTTTACACATCAGGACAAATGAAAAGACCAGATTCATGTAAACAAGAAAATACTGAATATAGTTTATGGCGAATTTCATAAAAACGAGTACAGCTGAACTATTTAGGCATATTTTTTTACTAACTCTTCTTATTATGTAGTCTTTTAAATTCTTTAAAGGTAATTTTGATGGATTTGAGAAAAAGATCATAGAAAGAAGTTGGATTTTTTAACGTAAACAACAGGTTAGCGTGAGCTAATCAACAGGTTTTACTTTTTGTATTAGTAGTATTGATCACATATTTGCATACAAACTGATTTCTTTTGTAGGTATAAAAACAAACTAAAAAAAACGATTCTGTTATGTTTTCAAAGAGTCGCTGCAGAGGGACCAAAGAGCCACATGTGGCCCCAGAGCCGCAGGTTGCAGACCCCTGACTTAGACTAAAACTTTGGCATGAAAGGAATGCTGAGGCTAAAATGTTCACATTGATCAGGTAAAGAGAATAAGAATTTAAAGGTAGCAACCTTTTGATCGTGTCATTTTCCAGTGAACTGTTTGACAAAGAGTACATTTAAAAAAATATTCATTCACATCCCAATGTAGCGCAAAGAATGACGGCCCTTTGGTTGCCCAGATGTGGTTTGTCAGAGGTGGTCCACGCATAGGCCAGCGTTGATTATTTCATTATAAAATATTTTTCTAACAGACAAAGTTTATGCTAAAGAGTTACTGACAAAATATGAACTCAGATCTTCTGTTAGTGCACTGGTTAGTCTTAGCTTCTGCCGCACCAGTTTTTCGTTTATATTCTGCAAAGCTGAGCGCTCACCACTTTCACTTTGAATTGGATTGACTCCAAATATTAAACAGTGGTAAATGTTTACTCTGTGATTATTTTAAGATTTTTTTTAAAATTCATCCAATTGGATATTTTGGAAAGAAACACACACACGCACTCTTGTACTTCCATCAAACTTAGGACTTTGTACTGACTTTCTTTCATTCTTGTAACTGCATTTATGCCTAACCCTGACCTCTTCCTAGATCCTAACTGTTAATCTATTCCTTTTTTTTTTTTTGACTGTTAATCTATTCCTAACACTGACTGAATATAATCTGTATTATTTTCAATGGTGAGTTTAATCCCATTGATTGCAGCGATAGTGCACATTTCCTTTTGATCAAATTTGTCAAAACAACATTGTATGATAGTACCTAATGAAATCAAAAATTAAATAGGAGTTAAAGTAAAGGAAGCTATCAGTTATTATTAAACACAGTTCAGTAAATCACAGTTACATCTCAAATAAACTGTCATTTTTTTATGTTTACTTAAATATAAATAAATACATGGATAAAAACGTCCGTTTTTTATGTCAAAGTGGCGTACTTATTTGTTTTTCATAAATATAATGAGAACTCCTTAACTAAGTGGTTCATTTTCTCAAAGGATCTTTATGTTTTTGCCATCTTTATAAGAGTTTGCTATTTTTAATTGTGCTGAAATGTAAAAATAATGATAAATGCTAAAAGTTTATATTAATTTTTCACTTTCAGAATGTGATAAATTATTTTGTTTCAGATCTTTAACAACACCATTGCTGAAAGTTTGGATAGTGTGTAAAAAGTAAATAAAAACAGAATGCCATAAATTGCAAATCTCATAAACCGCACGAGTGCATAGTTTAAAAGCATGCCTCTCTGATGGTATGGGGGTGCACTAGTGCCTATTGGATGGGCAGTTTACACATCTGGAAAGTCGGCATTATTACAGAAAATCAAATGCAAGTTTTAGAACATCAGAACATTTGACCTCATCCAGGATTTGTATGTTTCAGTGACATGATGGAAAACTTCATTCTGTGTTCGTGACAACAGTACAGAGTCTGCCTGCATCGGACCTCTCACCAAAAAAATACTGGATTTGAGAAAAATTCTGGTAAGGAGACCCAGAACTGTTGAACAGCAATTTGTTGAAACTAATTAGCTGTGGCAGCCATAATCAGTTGTAGACGTACATCTAATGATTATATTCTTATTAGAATTAAGCAACATTTTCCTCTAAAATCTCCAGAAACTGGTCTCCACAGGTCCTGGATGTTGACAGACTTGTTAAAAGAAGAGGAGTGTTTCACTGAAGGAAACACGGCCCTGGATCAACATTTTGGAGACGTTGCTGCCATAATATTTAGAATTTATTAGGACAGTGGTTCCCAAACCTTTTATCTTCTGACCCACAAAATATGCATTGCAAAAACTTGTGACCCCAAATATTACTGGTCTGAGTACACAAACTTTATTAATAACCCTAAAATCACGGGCTTTTTGACAATCTACACAGCTTGTACACAAATATAAATACTTATTTATACTTATTTTGTGTTTTTGTAATAGTTACAGTAAAGGGAAAATATTACATCAGCAATTATTTTATTACCCTTTAAAATGATTTCTGGAGATTATCCAAGGTGCTTCATGACCCATAATTGGGTCCCAAGCCCAACTTTGGGAACCAAAGTGCAGTGGTTCCCAAACCTTTCAGCTTTTGACCCACAAAATAACAGCAGCAGAGACCTGTGCCCCCAACTATTTTTGGATGATAAACATTTGTATCAGGTCAACAAAACATAGGCATAGTAACAATATTTTTATACTACATTTATCCATTTTAAATACACTAACCTCACTCCTTGTAACAACTAAGGCAAAAATGTAATTATTTCAGAAAATATTTTCAGGACCCCACCTTGATGTTTCAGGACCCCACTTTGGGTCCCGACCCCAACTTTGAGAAACACTGTATTTGGACATAGTTTATACTTAGCAGTTAGTTTCAACATTTGGATATGTTAACTATGTTCCATTGTGAAAAAAAATATGAATTTATGAGATTTGCAAATCACTATTTTCTATTTTTATTTACATTTTACACAAAATCCAAACTTTTTAAGAATTGGGGCTGTGTAAAAAAACATTTTTCAGTCTTCTATGAAGTTTTGTGTATCTAGATTAATTTGATTTAGTGGGAAAAGTGTCAGAAAGTACTTTTGTTTAATAAACATTACAGACCCCTGCATTAAGTCATAGGAAAGTTTTTTTATTATTATTTTTCTCAGAGAACATTAGAGTGCTCCTTAAAGTTGGACATCTTGAGAGGCAGGTGTAAGAATGCATGGCCTTTTTTTTTACTCTGCAGCACAATTAGCTTAAGCTACCTATATATCATCAACAATGCATGACAGAAAAAAAGAACAAAAGACAGAAGATTTATGGTGATTTTATGTGAAGCAAAATGAACATGAGCAATTTTTTTACAAACTGACAAATCAGAGAATGAGTGATCAGTAAAAAAAGGGACAGAGGACAGAAAAGTCCTTGTGAAGAGAACAAAAGATGAGCCAAATGAGATGTGAAGCTGCTTATGTAACTATCATTGCCAACAGACTGAGCTCTCTGACGGTTCTCTTGTCTCAGAACATACGAACGTCTGATGAGGACATTCTTGTTTAATTCAGTTGGTATGGATTCATGTCTCATCGTAGAGAGAAACACAGTTAAAAGTCATGATTAATCAGTCGTGGAGCGCTCACGTACACTCAGTGGCAGACATGGGAAGGCGTGAGTCACTGCTATTATTATCTCAGGTATTAAAGATATATGAGATACTGAGCTGGAACCCAGAGAGACACAGCGTGACGAGTGGGAGGATCTACAGGAAGGTTTTTATTGCTCGAATGCAAAATCGGAAATGACTGATAATGCTCTAAAATTTGGTAAAATTGTCTCAAATTGATCCCTAACGCATAATCCAAGCACGATGCCATTCACCATTTGGAGTCTGTTTGACTGTTAGAATATCTCATGAACTGGATGAACTTTATTAAAACATTCAGGATACATCACTGGATGCACATTTACAGCTGTTTAATGCTTGGACTCAACCCAATTCAATATGGCAACCACAGCCAATCCATTGAATTCAACACAGATCTTAATCACTTGGTCAGTTTTACAGATTTTGAGTTAAAATTTGATGTCGTAGCTGAAAGTCATTCACAACACATACTTTGATTGTGACATCTTGTGAAATAGCTTATGATCATTCATATCAGTATTATTTTCAATGTAGTAGGCAGAAAACTGGTCTAAATCTCTGGCATAATGGTGTTAGATATTTTGTGATCCATTAATTGAATTTCAGATTTACACTAATTTTTTACTTTCTGATCGATTGTAATCATTTACTATAAACAGTTAGATAAAAAATGAACAAGTCTTTATTTATTATTTACACATGCCTTGCACTAAACAGCGTACATCCACCTGATGTTTTTATATTATAGTGTTAGAGGAAATATGTCCAAAAGCTAGGACACCTGATAGGAGAAGGAACTTCCTTATTTGCCACAGAGGTGCATCTTGGCTCAAATGTAAAATTTATTGTGACACGTAGCCCTGGGCCATTTTTGCTCAGGTCTTTGTAGTCAGATGGAGGCTATGGGTGAACGGACCACAGTGCTGTGATGGGATGAACTATGTATAGTGTGTGTGTAAATCAGTGGTGTCCAAAGTCAGTCTTCAAGGGCCCTGGTTCAACAGCTGAACCTAAGGAGTGCTTAATTAGTGAGCCTCTGCAGACCTTGATGGCATACTGAAGAGGCCTACTAATTAAGCACTACTTAGGTTCAGCTGTTGAACCAGGACAGCTCCTAAAACATGCAGGACWCTGGCCCTCGAGGACTGACTTTGGACACCACTGGTATAAATAAATATTCAAGTCTAAGTACTGGACCGGTTTCTTTTGCCTGATTCAGGTTCTCATTGTACATGTTACTTTTAATTGGTGACCCCGACGTGATATTCATTCCTCGTGTTCAAAGTGTTCTGTTTCTCTTTCAGGTGCACACCATTCCAAAGGCTATACAATGGAGTCCACTCACCTGCTGAGTGGATCTAAGAAGAGAGTGAAGATCCATCCTCATACAGTCACAGCCAAGTATGCCACACAGACCCCCTACGCCCCCCAGCCTGGAATACACACTCACTTTCCCCAGCCGGGCGATGAAGGTTATGATGACGCTCCATCCTTTGAGGAATTTGGCTCCTTCGTTGAGGACACGTCAGACAGGAAACGACTGACTGAAAGCAGGAAGTGGCCGTTGACGCTGTTCGGCTCTAAGGAAAAGGACAAGGAGGCACCCCATAAACTCCAGCCTACAGGAGGGGGAGAGGCGAGCGAGGGGGCAGCCAAGGCAGTAAAGGGGTCGGGGAAAGGGGTGGGGGAACAGTTGGCCAGTTTTGGCGAGGCTTCGGTGTCTGCGTCTCGGCTCACCTGGCTGGGGTTGCTCGGCGCGGCGCTGGCGCATGGCTGTTTGATTGCGCTGACCCGCCTCGCCTCGGAACGCTTCGGCCTCGGACCCCTGTTCCTCCTCTTAGTGCGGTCCGTCGTACAGCTCCTGTCCCTGGCCGTGCCTCTGCACAGGGGCCAGAACCCTTTCGGACCAGAGGGCTATCGACTACATCTGGTCTGCTACGGAATAGCCTACTCCCTCTCCCTCTGCTGTGCCTACTCTTCGTTAACCTTCGTCTCCCCTGGAAATGGCACAACAACGTGGCGCCTTGCAACGACAGCGCTGTCTGCGACCCTTGCCTTCCTGCTCCTGGAGGAAAGACTGGGACTGGCCGATGGGATAACCCTGGCTGCGGGTCTGTGCGGTTTGGGGCTCCTGTTGCTTCCCACCACAGACGAGAGCTTTTCTGATTCACAAGTTGACCCGGTTGCATTCTGGAAGGAAGCTTTTGGATGGTCTCTTTCGGCCCTCGCAGGGTTGTGGACGGCCTTGGCGTTGGTCGGGTATCGCTCGCTGAAAGACAGGATTGGAGTCGGCACTGCTTTGTTCACGGTGAGCTGGACTGGGTGCCTGCTGACCCCAGCGACTCTGGTTTTGCTCCAGGAGGGCTGGTCCTGGCCAATGAGTGCTCCAGCCTGGGGCGTCATCCTGGGTTTGGTGGCCTGCTCTGTGGCAGCCTTCTTAGGAATGACTCACGCCCTCACCCGGCTCCACCCGGCTCTGGTCTCCGCCTCGCAGAGCCTGGAGGTACCCGTCGCCATGCTCCTCCATCTGGCCATGCTTCCTTCTGTCCCCACTGCACCCGAGGTGGTGGGGAACGCCATGGTCGTGCTGAGCGTCAGCTGGCTGGTGGCCATGAAGCTGCTTCCCTCGCGAGTCGGTGGGCGGCGTCAGAGGGAGGAGTACGAGGAGATTCTCGAGTCTCCTATCAAATAGATCTCCTCAGCCTGCCCTCTTGTTGTCCACACCGTCTGCTTTACGAGATTGGTTGAATAACTGTACATAACAGACTGATAAATGTCTACTGGAGCTTTATCTGTTTTGTATTGTTTTTTTGTTTTTTTGCTTTTGGGAAAGTGCCAATATTTTGTTGTCTGTTACCGTGACTATATGTGATAATAAAATCTCTCTGAGAGCTCTGTTGTCACCACTTTATTATCACCTCCTGCCACAGAAAGGTGAAGGTGGGCGATAATGTTCTTGCCTCTGTATGTTTGCCAGTAGAATATCTCAGGAAACACTAGATGAATTTTTTATTAAAACCAACGTTATTGACAGACAAACGAAAGGAGAAAAAAGAAGAACAAGAAAGACAGGAACATTATCAAAGATAAATGGATGAAGAGCAACAAAGGATGGTTATAAGGAGCAGCATACAGTATGGAGGTAAGTGATGGCAGATGATAAATAAAATATAGTCATGTTGTTTTAGAAAGAGTTTTAAGTTTTAAAAAGTAATATATATATAAAAGGCCTTGTTTAGCAAGTTATTGATGTAGTCAAAACAAAGATTTCTGCCCTTTTCTCCAGACTCGCTCACTCTTTGACGCTTTAAAAATGAYCAGACTATCCCTTTAAGATTTCACAGCAGTTCAGTCAAACACTAATTTATAAACATTAATGTATACACCTGAACAAGACGTTTGAAGGCAGAGGTGTCAAACTCAATTGCAAAAAAGAGGGCAAAATGCTTCTCTGATCGTATGGGGGTGCATTTTTCATTTTGGAAAGACAACATTAATGCAAAAAAAGTAGAACATGCTCCCAACCAAATGAGGTGTTTTCCAGTGAAGGTCTTGCATATTTCAGCAAGACATTATTAAACCTCATACTGTATTCATGACAGTAGCAGGGCTTTGTAACAGAAGAGTCCAGGTGCTGAACTGACCTGCCTGCAGTCCTGATAGAAAACATTTGATGCAACATGAAACAAAACATCTAACAAAGACGACTCAGGACCATTGAACATTTAGAACAGCCTCGTTTTTATTCATATTCACACCAAGTCCCAAATTTTATTTTTTTACAGTAGGGGGTTGTACAAAATGTATTTATACAAACTATTATGCAGATAATTGAGGAACTCATCTGTCAAACATAAACAAAGTATTTGCACCCTTATCCCCTGTGCGTGTCTGCAGCTAGCCTGATGGGCGACAGAAGTTTTGGCAAAGCCTCATAAATCACCAACACTGTGACTAATTTGAGTTTTTACATTCAGACACTCTTAAAGCAGCCATTAGGAGGAGAAAGCTGCCCAACACGTTATAAAAGACAGACTAAACCTCAGACAAATGAAGTGCAGAAAATGAGATGATTACTCATGGTGTGGGAGGAGGGAGGAAATATTTTCCACCATGGTGTTCTGGTTGTACTTGATTTTTTTTAATTCACTTTGACAAACCCACAGTTTTAATGGCGTTAAAGTTTATTCTAAGCAGAAAAAAAGCTAATTTGTATAAAAATAATTAAAAATAAAGCCTCGCTGTCCACCTTTATATATTTTCTCTTATTCTGGATGATTCATGCGTCTCCTCTGGTCTCCCTCCACTCTCCTGCCTGCTCCATCACTTCGCTCAGCTGCAGGTGAACCCTCTGCCGCCCGGTCGTCGTGTCCGCCTCCCCTGGTGGAGTCATCTCCTGCTCCTCCAGGCCAGATGGGAGAGGCCCGCTCCACCTGCCGCCTGCAGACAGAGAGGCGACGGCCTCCTCCAGCCGCTTCAGTCGAGCCATTTCCTCGTATCTGCTCTGCAGGACCAGCTCCAGGGTGGCGTTGATTCTCCTCTCCATCTCTGCCCCGTCCCTGCCCAGCTGCACCAGGGTGTCCCGCAGCCTGAGGCCCGCCTGCTCCGCCTGGGCCCTGCACACCGACACCAGGCTGGGCGCGTACTGCCGGAAGGTCTCCTTCAGCAGCGCGTCCAGCTGGCTCCTCTCCCCGCAGCAGCGCTCCGCAGACGCCAGCAGCATGTTCTGCCTCATGTGGGAGTCCTCCAGGGCGATGAAGAGCTTGTCCCAGCGGGAGAGGTCTGCACGGTCCGGTGGGCTTCGAGGGTCCCCTGCAGAGCAGAAACCACAGGGGCTGCRCTGATTATGCAATCCTGCAGGCAGCTGAAAGGTTACATGATCCTATCCTCTGCTACAGCTGCACATTTCAAACCAAACCTCACACGAAGCGTTATGGCCAGTGTGTGTGTGTGTGTCTGTTAGCAACATATCTCACAAACTGCTGCACGGATTAAAAAAAATCATCTCAGAAACAACTCGTTCAATGTATATCTACAGCTGATTAACTTTTGGAGCATGCCTCATCCATGATGGCCACCACAGATAAGCAAACTCATAAAACAAAAATGGCTACAATGGAATGGAGTTCCATTTGTGCCAAAAATACGTTGTTGACGTTATGTGTCAACACAAGGTTTAAGAACATGGACTAAGGCTCAACAATATATTTTTGGCACAAATGGCACTTCATAGAGTTTATGGATAATGTGGTAAAATTTGCCATGGTGGTAGCTGAAAGTCTGTCACAACACATTCCCTGAGCGCTACACATTGCACAACATCTTTGCTTAATACTATGGCTTTTGCTCTTATGGTCAGCATGGCCTGTTAGCAAAATATCTCATGAACCAATGGATAGATTTCGACAAAATTTTCGTAAATTATTTAATTTATGTACTTTTTACAGCTGATTACCTTTTGGAGCCAATCCAATTCAAATGACTGTCACAATCAAATGACTTTAGAAAACACAAATATGGCTACAACTCATTCAGTTTTATAAATACTGAGCTACAATTTCCTGTGGTTGTAGGTGAAAGTTTATCTCAACACATACTCTTAAGTGCTACTCAATAAACAGGATATTTGTTTTTTTGCATTAACTGTTGAAGTCAACCCTGTTTGTTTGCAACATATCTCAGGCACCAACTGATGGATTTGATTAGGGGTGCAACAATACMTGTATCTGTATTGAACCGTTCAATACACACTCTGTATGGAACAATACAGATTTTAACATTTTTATCATCCTGTCTTCTGAAGATGCTCTGTGTTGAAGGATCAGTGGATCTGTGTTCGACTACTCCGCCTAGACTGCATTGTCGAGCAMAGATCCACTGAGAAACTTGCCGTTTCAGCAACATTTAATTTATAAACTGTACTTTTCAGGTTAAACAAATGTTCATAATTAATTTCAATAAATTACAAGTTAAGAAGGGCATGGAAATTTCTCTTATTTGTATTGAAAAATATCAAACCGTGACACCGAATTGTAAATTTTCTATATCGTTGCAGCCTTAAATTTAATTAAACTTTCAGAAAGTAATTACTGGATGTACATCTGTAACTGATTAAGGTTTGGAGTCACTGTTCAAGATCAGCCAACACAAAATAGCTATAACCCTGTCAGTTTACCATGTAATGAACTAAAATCTGTTATGGTTGTAGTTGAGAGTCATCACAACACATACTGTGAGCATAAAACACTAAGTCACATGAGGTTGTGTGTAATCTAGTTTGTAAAGGTTTAAACACTTCTCAACAAAACATCTTTTTAGTTTAAAATTCTGGCATGAAAGGTGAAGAAATGTGAGGCCTTCAGTTTTGCGCAATGACTAAAAAAATAAATTAAAAAATGTTTAATTTACTTAAAGAAGCAAGATGTTATAAGGACGTTATTTGATGACATGTTGCTGTAGAAAGTGGCGACACTTTCTTCCCAAGGATCCATCTGTTCAAAGAAGCAGACAAACAAACACTCACCCTCCTGCTGCTCCAGGAAAATCTGGTTGTTGTAGTCGTCTTCAGAGCTCTCCGCAAACTCAATCTCATTCCCACACACAGCTGAGCCGACGGTGGCGAGCACAAACACGACATGCCACATCCTGAACACACACACACACACACACACACACACACTCACTCACACACACTGGAGCGCTGATGTTCTGCAGCTTTCGTGAAGTCTCCCTGCAGCTGCTCTGCTTTCCCTTTCAGACCCTCACTTCATGGAAAACCCGTCCCATTCAGGCAACTTATAAAGCTGAGGAGGGTGTGTGTGTGTGTGTGTGTGTGTGTGTGTGTGTGTGTGTGTGTGTGTGTG